GGCGAGACTAATCCGCAGCCAAGCGTCCCCAAATAGATGCCATGAGGCACGCTGGCTAATACGTTACACTAGCTTGTTTGATTTCATCGCTCAGAATGTCATCCCTTGTTTGTAAAATAAGGGTCCCATAACTCCTGTCAGCGCCATTGTCGTTTCGGTCAACTTTGGGATCAATAAAATATATTTCCTGGTAAATAACAGTCCAAACCATACTGTTTGCGAGCTGAGTGCACTTGAACGAATAGAAGAAGCCTGGATTACATCAGTATCAAATCTAACATCTTCAGATGTTCATCCGGAGTGGTTTTGATCACATTTGTTACGTCATATTTCTTTGCTTTTAGGTCATTTTAAGAGCATTTTATTGGCCATCTTTGGCGGATTTTTATTTTGTCGTCATCAAAATCCGCCCCTGCCTTGTACAATATAAAATTGGAGTTATCAAACGAGACGTATAAGCCTCAGTTGATAACCAATATAATAATGTAATATGTTACCATTTGCATATCGTGGAACGTTAGACACAATTTGTCAAAATTGATAGTACTTATATTGATAGTTCGTATACAATGTGTTTGTTCTAATATTACTTGCTATACAGAAATCATTATTTTTGGTATTTATGAAGCATGGATGTATGTTTCGTAATAACTCTTGATACTATACTGATCTCAGTTTCGGAAAGTTTAACTTTATACAATCAAAGTGAATGGTTTCAATTTACCCATTTACATTAAGTTTATCATACTATACATACTATTTAGACAGTGTTATGTTCAAAACTAGTTAAACTAGTGCTGCTACAACACGTGAATTTGAAGAAAAAAATCTTTCCAATATAACTTATTTCATATGACTGAGATTTGGGAGTACTTTTTAACAATAAGAGAAATAGCCAAGAAGAAATTGAGAGACTAATAAGCTTTGAGAGAAACATGACATGAAGTGTAAACTGTCTTATGGAACAAAAGCATCACTAAGGCTACTAAAAGACGTCTTTACTCCACTTCCGAGTGTTGTACGGTTGAGAAGTTTGGGAGGTTGACAAAAGAACAAGAGGGAAGCGGCTGGCCCTTGAAATGGACTTCTGGCGTAGAAGTAGCTGTTATAGCAGACGTGACAGAATCAGGAACGACGACATACGAAACAAAATGGATGTAAAGAAATTATTTTTGAGAAATTGATTGAGAAGTTTTGAAATTGAGACAAAACAAATCGTCTGGTGCGGTTATGTTATGAGAATGACAGATGAAAGATGGCCAAAACGAGTCCTGCAATTGGTGCCGACAGAAGAGCAAGGCCCAGACTTGCATAGCAGCATGGAGTGCCAGATGCTATGACGGCAAGAGAAATGCAAGATGATCTATGGTCAAAGAGAGATGCATGGAAACTAAAAGCGGAGAAACGGCGACAGCTGTAGAGCAACACTACTATACCCACACACATAAAAAGTTGTATAATATGAATGCCACTTGGACATTTTTTGCTACCTCTCATGGTAAAACTGAAAACGATGGTGTGGATGCTACTGTTAAACGAGAGAAAACCAAGGAAAGTTTGCGCAGACCGGTACGATAATCAGATTACAGACATTGACCAATTATTAGAGTATTGTAAAAATCACATTAACAACATCCAGTGTGAAATTGTTAGAAAAACTGAAGTTGATGAATATCGCAATTGTAATCCAAGTGAAAAAGCATTTACAGTTCCAGGTACACGCAACTTCCATGAGTTTGTCCCTCGCTCAGACTGTATTATACAATGTGAAAACATAAGTACTGAAGAAAATGATTCTCTGGTATTTGATTTAATTAACAAAAAAATTAAAATAAATATTGTTGATTTTATCTAATACATGTTAAAATTAAATAACATAATTTATAAATAAATTCAATTAAAAGGATTTACACATTGTTATACTTTTTTCGCAAATTTGCCAATTTAATTAGTATGTAATAAAATTGTGTGTTTGAAAATGTCACACAATGATTTCTCATTCAATTTCTATTCATAAATATGTAGTTTTCCATGATTTTAGGGAAAGAAATGAGTTATTAGTAAAATAAAATAGGGATCTCTATAATCATGTGCACCCAATAAAATCAAAAAATTACCCAAAAAATGTTTAATATTATGAAAGTATATCTAAAAACAAATACTTATATTGTTTTATAATTTTAAAAATATGAGAAATTTGCAATTTTTAATAAAAAAAATTGACTTTTTTTTAAAAAAACGCCATTTTGAGTAGTAGAAACTAAACATATACTCTTGAGAACGCCACCAATCAATTATTTGATACATTTTAATTCAGAATTAATGTATTTTGGTGTGTTTTGCGAGGTACTTTGGATAAAGCCCCTTGACCATTTTCAAAACTTTCAAAAAAAAATGGCAATTATTTATGTTTATTAAATTTTGTTTTTGGGTAGTCTGAAAACGTTTATGAGAATGGCGCAGGTCTTAAGTTGGTTGCAAACCCTAATTTTTCGAAAATTGTAAAAAAATCCTTTTTTTTGGGGGGGGGTCTTCCTACAACTAAAATTTTGAAGATAGAGATTTTCCCCCTCAAAATCTCTTTTCTTTAGAAATAGATTTTGATATAGTCATGTACAATTTTTCGAAAATTTTAGTATTTTTCGCATAATCTTGCGTGAAATGTAGGCAATTTTTAATTTTGTTTAAACAATTTTTTCTCAATAATGGCCCCAGCGATTTTGATTAAACTTTGTTGTTGTATAGTTTAAAGGACGTTTAAGACAGCGGTGAAGGTCACATGTTGCTGGATAACTTTCATTTTTCGAAAATTGAAAAAAAATCAAAAATTGTTAGGCGCTTTCCTACAACAATTATGAAAATACACGCTTTTGTTAATAAAATTCGTTCATAGAAAACATATTCAAATAAGGTTATGTTAAATGTTTCGAAAATATGAGTATTTTTGTAGTAATTGAGCGTCAACGTTGGTTACCTGCTCTGAAAATCCTACGATTCTTAATCTAATTTTAAATGTGTTTTGAGGCATTTGGATGCTACGTATGTTAGAATGTGTGTAATTTACATTCTCGCATTCTGCTTATTTTTCGCACCAGACGTTCTACGATTTCAAATGAGTTTTGCAAAAAAATTATTAGGAGACAAATTGTGGTATAAATAGTTTTGAATAACCATTACTAATGGCGAGAAAGTACGTTCTGTTTTAGCACTACTAGTTCTTAAATAAAATCTGTTCTAACAAATTATATTTTAGAAATTTGTTTGAAAAAACTAATATTTTTCCCGTAATTTCTGTCTGAATCTCATGCATTTTCTCAAAACTGTACCGTTTTTTCTTTTTTTCCACTGAAAAGGACGCTTTTCAAGATCAGGTATCATTTTCATTGAACTTTAAGCAATAATACAAGAAAGTATGTTCTGTAGTACCACTAGTTTTCTCTCCATGAAAAAGTTTGTATCAATTTCAGCAAAATGTTGAATAACCGGTTTTGCCTGTATGTCTTCAATTCTGTAAGCGTTTATGGTTCCGTTAGAAATTTCTCCCATGAAGGTGACATCAGGAATTTCCGAGTTAACAGAGCATAACTTGAACTGAGCATCAGATAGTTAGTTATTCTGGAGATATTGATGTGGTATTGTTCTGAATTTCTGAAATAGATATATTCCAAGTAAGTTAGAAACAGGGGGAGGTAGCAATGAATGGATCCTGGTGAAAGCTCACCACTTTCATTATGATTGTGATCAGAGCTGAGTATGTTATGAGGTGACTCTCTTGTTGTTTCAAAGAGCTATATAAATTGTTAGTGGACTGTTCCTAATGTACATTTAGCTTGAAATTTACTGACATTTCTTAAGAACGGTTATTCATATTGCAGGTAAGGATGATAAAGGATGGAGCATGTATATTGACCGTCAGCGTTCGTGGTTTATGCATGGAAGCATTCATGAGCAGCGTTGTGAAGGTGGCATTCAACCTGGATATACAGTTGGTGTTCTTCTGGACCTAGAGAGGCACCAATTGAGCTTCTTTGTGAATGAGGAGCCCCAGGTATGTATAGTAATTCTTTTCAAAATCCTCCTTTCATAGATTTTTTAAATAAAAATAAAATTAATGTATACAAACATTTATTGAGTAAAAGTACATTATAAATTGTTTGGGAAACATGGGCAAATTTATTTCGTTCTTTGTTTTAATATTGTAGTATGTAGAGAGATAAATGTAGATGTATGTACATTTTAATATACACAGATATCAGGAATCTCCCTTAACGAAAAAAGTACCCCAGATTCAATGTTGAATTTCATGGAGAATGAAAGGTTCAGTTTTTACGAAACAAAAATGTCTTCGAGAAAGTATAGTTTAAATGTTACTTCCGGATGCGAAATTCAAACCGATTGCCGCCTCAGACGCCGGCGCCCCCGTCCGCCAACGGCACTGGAAGCTTCCTCTCTTAAGCTGGCACTACTATAATCGAATACCACAAAAATATGCCACTATTTAATTACTAATTAAATAAGTAAAAGATTTTGTCCGGTATGAAAAATATATTTAATCTATAGATTACCTCCTCACCTAATCTATTGTATTACTTTTTCATAAAACTGCAGTAGTACTAAAAGGCTTTTTCTGATCGCATGGACTAAAATTCTTTCTTTTCCAGGGTCCTGTGGCGTTTCAAGACCTTTACGGTGTGTTTTATCCAGCAGTGAGCTTAAATCGTGGTGTGTCAGTTACTTTACACACTGCCATTGATCCACCTTCTGATATAGACGATAGCTGAATTTTTTATTGTAATATTTAAGTTATCATTGAGCACTTCCATTATTCCTGCTTAACTCAAGTTTTCCATCACTTGTGTGTGTGTGTGTGTGTAATATATATATATATATATATATATATATATATATATATATATATATATATATATATGAGTGAAAGATATGTACAGAGTGCATATGGGTATTGTGATGTTTCATATTTAAGTTATTTTTGTTTTTATATATTATAAAGTAGAATAACAATGTAAAAATTAAATTTAAACATTTATGCTAATTTTTACCCCAAATAACAAATTTTTGGGAAGTAGGACTGAATAACATTTCAAATATTTGTCACGATACTTGTATTTCAACAATTTATGTTCATATTAGATGTGTAGTTTAATTTGAGATAAGAAGAGAAGTCTGTTAATTGGAGTTGCTTGAGCCCTGTTTGGAATATTTTAACTGCCAAATTCGTGAATTATGTTTTGTGATACTGCCTTGAATTATAATTAGAATAGTGTAAACATGTCTTTGAATTGGCATTTCAAGAATGTCACATCAATTTTTTTCAAAGCTCAAAGTTGGATTGGAAAACATTTTTGTATTATTTTTTAATTCACATATTGTCTCATAATTATTTAAAATTAAATATATTCTTGTTTGTTATTATTTTTCATCATTGATTCTGACTTCTGGATCACTTATTTCTCTTTCCCTTTCTTACAACATTGCTTACATTTCAGGTTTTACTCTTTGGAATTGCTACAAGTTGTTCTCAAACCTGGAATTAATTTCAAATTGAATTAACAAACTTAGTAAGAACATTTTTTTAAATATAACACCTGGCAGCACACAATATTTTCTTCTTCTCTTTTTTATTCATGGACATTTTCTAATGTTTATGATAACATCATTTGGAAATTGGGTGACTTAGTACCATTTTCTGGACTGTTAATAGAAATAATTGTGCGCTCACAGCAATCTGTATATTTAAGAAGATACGTTTCAGAATTTTTTTGATTCAAAATGTCTTACTAGAAAACCAGTGTTTTCTTTTTTTTTTCTTCTTCTACCTTATAAAAGCTTTACTTATTGTTGTTTTCATTCATATGAAATATTTGTTATTGTTACTAAATATCTACATGCATCGGGAAAAAACAAGTGAAGTTCTATTACAAATGAGTGAACTGTACTAAAAGATTCTTTTATAGCAATGCATTGTTAAAATTGATTTCTTTTTCCCCTCCAGTATTCAAAAGTCTCCTTATTTGCTGTATGGAAGTTATTACTGTGTACAGATTAGGATGATTAAAAATTTTCATTCAATTTCAACAATTCAGTTTGTTCACGTTTTCCTTTTCATTTTTAGTTTAAAAAAATGGTTTTGGACAAAGTAAGTAATTGTATCTTATTTCTAGATTTGCATTTGGTAATCAAAATAGACATCAGAAATTTACATTATTTTATACTTAGTGAAGTATGCTACAGTTCCTGAAACAGTGACACAATGCACCAAAACAACACATATCACGACCTAAGAACAACCAAGGGAAATGAATAAGTTAACTTCTACATCTTGCCTTTCAAGCAAGGAACATAAATGACAACAGGTAAAGTAGAGAAAATAGGAATACAGGTTAATGTAGAAATGCTGATCAAGAATACTTGAAGTTGAAAAATTATACAGTAAAGGTCAAGTCAAGATTCCGTTAAGAGGCAATTGAAATGCCATGAAAAGATGTTAGAACACTTAATACTTAAATTTATTTAGTGAAAAAACAGTAAAAACTGTATGTGACGTATGAGAAGATAATTTTCATACGTTTTCTTGAGTTCCAGAATCCCTTCCCATCATTTTAACTATAAATAGTTGAAAGATGAGTAAAAGTTTGATAAATAAATAAACAAAAATAAAATTTAAAACAAGCTCGAGATTAGCGACATTTGAAAAACTAGACATTTTCGTTCCCACGTTATAGAAAAACTTATTTGCAACAGTAAACGAACTGCAGATTTTATTTTCTGCAATGGTAACAAAATAGTAACTCGCCCTTACCTCCTACCCCTACAAGCAAAAGGAGTGTTCGACTAAACGTACACATAGTGAAGCTACATTTACGAGCACTAACAACAACTTATTTTCACATGTCCATTACGCTGGCTAAGACAATTCAGCAAAACCTGTTTTCTTAATAGCCATAATATTGTGCTTTTCAGACCAATTTTTGTTTTTAATTAAAAACAAATATTTACAGCTTGTACGTCGCTGGAGCATCACCAGACGGAAGATGGCACGTTGTAGAAAAGAACTATCCCGCAAAATTTGTTCTCCTTACCCAACATTTTCCACAATACATTACTCTAAGGAACTATATTGTTTCATTAAGTCCAAAATCATTATACTATTAAAATTTGACATGAATCGAGGTACATAAATTCCCATAAACCAAGCAAAACAATGAGCATTATCCTTTTCCAGTAATAAAAATGAAACATTGCTTTAATGAAATGCACTAATCTAGATATTTGTGCTTGTTCAGTTTGTTGGTAAAAAATAATAACGATTTCTTTCTTTAGAGAACCTATTGTCAGTAACCGATAAACGAGGTTCGCCAATCCAGAGGAGTAATCGTCGTGTAATCGGAACTATTCAATGAAATGTATTGTCTGTGAGAAACAATCACAACAATACATTTCTATAAAGATATCTATTATTTTTTAAAACGGTAGAACTTCGCTAATCCGAACGCTGCAAATCTGAAATGTTCGATAATCGGAGCAAAAATCGGGATAGAGGAAAAATAAATAAAATGCTTATTATTTTGTAGTGTAAAGAAAGGATTTATTAATTACTATTGAACTGAACAACTAGTTATTGAAACACAAGTTGGCGAAATTAAACGTTTATGAATTGGTAACTACAGTGTATATCACATGTTTATTGTGGCGTCGTTAACACGAGGGCCAGAACCGTTAGGTTGGTGAAAGTGCGCTGCGGGGGAGGAAGGGGTTGAGCCTGAACTTCCGGGAGTTTGCGCTCTGGCGGTTGACTCAGGTAGAGCTGCAGAGCCAAAAATAACCGTAGGCTGTAAACTCCGAGGACGCTAGCCAGCGGGCCCTCGCTTACCGACAGCAGGCGAGCCAACCTGAGAATCTTGTGTGTGGGGGCGTAAACCAAGATGCTGGCCAGCGAGCCTCGCTTGCCGACAGCAAGCGAGCCTATCTATGGAACAGTGGTGGGGGGGTCAGCCTCAACTATTTAACGCGGCGCCATCTGCGCCCGCGTTCTCATTCAGTTTGCATCGGGGAGCTTGTACGTGTATGTACAAGGAGTGTAGGAGTGTGGGCGAGATGTCCGGAGAGTAAGGGCCAGGCGATCTCGCGTGCTGTAGGCACACGGTCGCCACGACCGGTTTAAATTTTGGCGTCAGGCCATGTGACGGTAATTGTCACGGCACGGAAGTCCGACAGCTCGCATCACGCGTGGCTTTTATTTTTCTGCGGTAAAGCAGGGTACTGAAAGGAAAAGGTTGCCGGAGCAATAAATATTAGCAATTTATTGTAACTTGTTCATAATCTTTTAATATACTATTTTTAATTTTGTTATTTGAATTTATTTCTCATTTCACTACGTCACATTATGTAGCAGTAATTTTCAATTAGAGGAACTTGCAAAAATAAAATCGGTTATCTTAGTTTGTCGTAAGGAACTGAATCTGCTTGATAATGCGATCGCTAAGCTACGTTGCCATTTTCTCACATAGCTCGCTACGTTGCATTGTCTGGTAATCCTACAGATGTATAGTAAAATCTGTCTAAACTGGAACCTGTTTAAGCCGGAAACCTGCCTCAACCGGAAAATTTCCTCGGTCCGTGAAGTTAAATGGCATTTTACACAAAACGGAATCTGTCCAACGCAGAAACGGAACGAATGTTCATGCCTTGCAGGGGAAAACCTTCATAAAACAGAATATCTGCGAATTTAAAGCAAAGACACGAAATACTCTTCGTGTAATGAATGCTTATGCAACTTTGTTTTACTTTCTCTGTCCCAGTGATATGAGTTTCAGTCGAGGCAGCCGCACAGTGAAGGCGAGGAGCTTCAGTTTTCAGCGTAGAATTTGACCTTGAGATCGATTGTCTCTCAATGCGTAGTCCCGTGGGAAATTTCCTCTCTCACGGTTCTCCGAACGTTGGAAGTGGCATGGCTTGTATTACATATCTACCGCTCGTTGATAATAGTCACTCCTCAGCCAGAGCCACATCCAAGGCCATGGAGTATCAAAAAGACAGTACTCTGTGTTGTGGCGCCATTGTGCGTTGAACGTCAGCGAGCAGTCCGGTTGAAGCCACTAGGCAGTGAGGTGGTGTACTTCTATAAGTTTCACAACCTGATCATTGTAGAGGGATGAAAATGTATTTGTGTAAATAATTACTAATGTTAGTGCATTTAGCTCTGTTGTCCAGCAAATTATGTTCAAATGTTTCAGAAATAAACTATTCAATATCTGTAATTAATTGGTCAACAGGTATATGCTTAAAAGAATATGGGAAGGCAAATTTAGGGCCAAGACAAAGTAAGCTGACAACATCATCTGGTATGGGAACATTACTTATTTCGCAACAAATATTACAATGATTGGAAAAAACATAAAATCCTCTATTTTAAAGTTTTTCAACTTCAGAAAACATAATTGAAAAGGTGTTGGTAAGTGGGAAAAGCAAAAAAACTAAATGAATGTTGGAAAAAATTGTATTATTTTAGTGCGCAGGTTGTGAAGTTTTTCCTTTTAAATGTCAAAAATATGTTTAATATTCCCTTATTTGTGATTTCTTCTATAAATGTGTTATGTTAATATATTTATAATTACAGTAAAATCTAAGCTGGAAACGATCGTGAAAAAATATTCCGGTTTAGAGAGGGTTCCGTTTTATGCAGGGTTGTCTATTTTATGACACTTGTTATATTGATATTTCTATCCTAAAACTAGTAAAGTACATGACTTTATTGTAATTATAAAACGATATTAACGTATAACGTATTTATGGAAGAAATTACCAATTAATATTAAACCTTTCTGACGATTAAAAGGAAAATCTTCACAACTTGTGCACTAAAATACTATTTTTATAACATTCATTTAAAGTTTTTTGTTTTCCCACTTACTAACACATTTTCTATTATATTTTCAAAAGTTAAAAAACTAATATTTAGAGTTTAATTTTTTTCCAACTGTTATTAAACTGGTTGTGAAACGCATAAAAATACACCATCTCACTCTCTAGTGGCTGCAGCCGAACTGCTCGCTGTCTCATCAACGCACAATGCTACACAGTCCAGAGTTCTAGGTCTTTCTCGCATTGCCTTGATCAATGCGGTTCTGGTCGGGGGGTTATGATTCTCATCGTGAGGCCGAGAAATGCGTAAACAGAACTCGTACCTAAACAAATTCCCACTCTCGGAGAGCCGGGAGGGAGACAAGCAAACCCAAAATCGAATTCTACACTGGCAGCTGAAGCTCTTCACCTTCACTGTCCGCCTTCCACGACTGAAACTTACATCACAGGGATAGAAGTTCCGTTTTATAAAGTTTGCTTTCGCTGCAGGACAGTAAAACCCCTTCCGTTTCCGTGTTGTACAGATGCCATTTTGTGTTGTGTGAAATGCTATTCCATTTCACGGGCCGGAGAAAATTTCCTGTTAAGGCAGGTTTCCGGGTTTTGTAGGTCTTTTTGAGACATATTTTACTGTATAATAAAATCGTGTACTAGTTTCTGGGCGGAAATGTGTCTCATAAAATAGACACGGACTGCATAAAACGGAAATAATTTTTCCCCCGATCGATTCCGGTTTAGACAGATTTTACTGTATATGTAAACGACGGTACAATTTTTCGGATAATCCGAACAAACCACACCCCCAATTAGTTCGGATTACCGGGGTTCTACTGTATTTTCATTTCAGACATAAGCCCTGAAAAAAATTATCAT